AGATTATCGCGCGCAATTTTTCTTCGTTGCGCGTCGATTCCTCGTTCCAGAATCGGAGCATCGATGCGTTCGATAAAATCCCTATTCGATGGGATTCGTTGTTTGCGAATCGAAGCGAGGGCTCCTTGACGAAAGACGCGTGGAAAGATCGGTTTATATCCTTGTTCGTTATATCGTTTGACGATCGATGAAAAAGAGGAAGAATACAATAGTAAAACTCTCTTTCGAGTCGGAAAGAGAGTTCTGATTGTTATCGAGAGACGAAATAAAGGAACGTAAAGTTGGGAGGAGGGGGGACAAGAAAGAGGCGGAGGAGGAAGGAAGGGAGAAACGCGATGTCGGGTCATTCGAGGAGGCGATTTAATATAAATCGAGAAGACGAATGGCGAGCGCGGCCTCCTCGACTTTGTGTATCCTTGCCCGTACATGTATTTAAACAGGCGTATTTAAACATAATTCATCCACTCTCGCCTCTCTTTCTCTCGATTCCTTCTTCAACCTCCGTTTACCGCGAGATCGAATCCGAATCGAAGAGTTGAAGCGTATACGTACGCGAAACAAGGTGAATAAAATAAAAAGGGCGGAAGAGATGGAAAGAAGAAACGCGTACCTTGGCTTTTGAGGCACCGAGCGTCGAATTTGAACGTTTATCGCCACGCGCGCGCGCACACACTAGGCGTAATTTCTCGGTAGCGGCGATCCGGTTTCATCGGTCGCGGCACTCGCGCGTGACGATCGTCGAATAAATTCGATCGAACGATATCCGAGTACATCCATTCTCGTTCCCTGGAGAATACGAAGGCGTCGGTAATGGCGCGTTACGGGTGTAATTACGCGCGACCGAGAAGCGAACGAGAGCACCGGTTAATCGTCTCTCGTTTGTCCTCGCCTTGTTATTGTTGTACCGCTGGGAGGAGGAGAGGCGCGACTCGGAACGCGAATCGAGGCAGACTGAAACGATAACGCGCGCTCGAGGACGAGGCGTTATCAAAAGAAGAGGAGAGGGGGGGGGGTCTCACCTCGAATCTCCTTGTCATCGTTCGCCATCGTCCAACTTTCTTATTAAACGCGGGAAGCTCGCAAAGCGAGCGAACACGGGGCGCATAATACGCGTAATTACCGCGGGGAAGCTTTACGGCGGCGTGTATTAATTTTCTTTCGCGCCCTGCTCGATCCTGGCTTGAAGAAGAAGAGAGAGAAGAAAGAAAAGGAAGGAAAGAAAACGAAAAGAAAGGGAAAAGAAGACGCGCGGCGATTTTATCGACTCTTCGTATACACGCCTTCTTTTCCTTCTTTCGTTCGTCTCGCCTACGCACGCACGGCACGCCTCTCCTCCACAACACTTTTCGCACTTCGATCCTCCAATCGAGCTCCAATATCTCGTTCCAATATCAATTACCGAATCGGATCTATTCGTGGTTTGTTCGAAGAGTTAAGATTTAAGATTTTTAAAAAGAATTCGAACAGAAGGGGTAGCAACAGGATCGCGGAGCCGAGAACAGGTGCGCCGTCTAAGCGTCGTTTCGATCGTTTAGAAACACCTGCCGTTCCTTTCTCTCCTTTCTCGTTTCCAGGTCGAAACCGGTAGTGGAAGAATCACAATCAATGTTGCCCCCTTTATTATTCGTCGTCGTTCCCTTCCATCCCTTTGTCTATTCCTCCACGTTATCCCGATAAATAACGAGACTTGTTATCGCCTCCTCTTGTTTGCCTTCGCCATTGTATCGCAACGCGCCGGTTACACGCTCGTCGTAACTTCCATCCCCAACCGTGACCGTGCAATTACTCGTGGAAATAAATTCATCGTGGCTAGCCTCGACACAATCGCGGGAGTCGCGCGAATCTCGTTACCGAAAGCTTTCGCGAAAACTCCTCTTTCGGACGGGTGAAGAAAAGGTGGAAATGGTGTCGCTCGAAGCGAGGCCTCCTCTCCCATTAATAACAAAGGTTCGCCCGGTGGAACAAAGAGATGGATCTCGGCGAGAATTTCCGTGCGCGTGTACGTATCGCTCGTTTCGGCTCGCAGGGCGGACGCACGAGCATAAACAATTGCGCATCGGCCTCGCCCCTTCCCGGCGTAACGAAACAAGAGAGAGGCGGCCCGAGGGGGTCGAGATGCAGATTTTTATCCGTTCGAGACATCGAGTCGAAACGGAATTCGCGATCATCGAATTCGCCGACGATTAATCGAATCGGACGGAGAGGAGCGAGAAGAGGTGGTGGTTTCACCGGAGTTTCGTCGCTTATTTGGGAGACGAGGGATCGGCCTAAAATAGAGGCACCGATTTTAATTGGAATAAGCTGGCCGGTGGTGGGCCGCCGGGTACAAAAAAGCCGTTCCTCGCTCGTTCTTGCGCCACCCCTCTCCCCCGATTAAACCGAATCGCGGCCCTAATTTATTAGGGCGCGTTACATCGCGTTAGAGAGGCCGTGGACGGCTCTCGAATTAAACTCGTATTTGGCGAAACGATGACCGGACGGAGATAAATCCGCGGCTCGAAAGCGAGGAGAAGAAGAGAGGGTGGCGGTAGTGGTGATGGTAAATTGAGACATCGGGCGGTGCGGAAAGAAGATGGTATCGATGATTAATGCGCGTCGCCGTGGCTGCGCGGAGGGATCGGTAAGAAAAAAAAAAAAAAGGGGGCGCAATTACATCGCGCAACGAGGCTTAATGACTCGATAAGTGGTATCACGAAACTGTACGCATCGCGGGATTATACATGCAGGCCGTAATAACTGCAATTTCATTCCTCGGCCCTCGTTGTTCCATCGTTGTTTCGTTGAGGGTGAAAAAAAATGGTACCTCACTCGAGGCGCTAGCCGCGCGTCGACTAAACGCAGGGAGGAGGGATCGGGGCAAAAAGAACGAAATCGCGCGGAGAAACACGAGAGAAGGAGAGAGAGAGAGAGAGAGAGAGAAAGAAGAGAGATTGGACCCCTCGCTCGAGAAGAAGAAGACTTTCCTCCAGAGCCCTGGATTAATACCCCGGTGGTGAAAAGCGAAGAACACGGAGAGAAGGGGAGAGAGAGAGAGAGGAGGGGAGGGGGAGGGGAGGAGAG